TGGACAACAACAGCTTCCTCCTCCACAACATCCTTGTCCTCCACCTTGGAATACTGATCCCATTCCCCCAGTTCCTCTGCATCCAGCACATTGCCTTGTTGCCTGTTTCATTTGTGCACAGCACAGCAGGCCATGACCATGGGATGTAGTCTGTCTAGACTATATTGGAGACACCCTCTCCCCACACCAGTCTGAGTAGCAGAAAAGTATCTTTAGTAGCCCTGTACTCTGCAGTGATACTATGAGCCAAGATCGCATTAGGTAGCCCTTATGCCTCAGTAACCAGCCTTGTAAAGCCCTGGACCCTCAAATGCACCAGGTACATGAGTGTTCTCCAGAATGTACAAGTTGTGGCAGCTGCCATGGTAGCAGGCATACACATCCAGGAAGTGCTAATGATGATCTCAGATCATCTACACATGAATGAAATGGAACCCCCTCCCTATTGATGAATTCCACAGCATTGTTATATGGCCCTCTCAGTGCCCCAAGTCTACAATTGATGGCACTCTGCACCTGGGGGAACCCAGCTCTGTTTTCGATTCCAATTGCTCAGGCTACAACACTGACTCCATCTTGGGGTAGCAAGGTGAACTGGTGTGATCTTGCACAGATGGTATCAGTAATTGTTCTGATGTATTTGTGTGTACACAACCGAAAAATACTGCACAGGTCACCTGTTGGTCCATGAAAGGAGCCAGTTGTTTAGAGGTTCACTGCCGCGGTGAACTTCACCGCTACCAGGAGAGAGTGGCCTTCCACTCCTGCAACCCTTCAATTCCACTCCAGCCTCCTGCACAGTTCTGTGCAGTGTCCTAGGACATATGAAGCCTGTGCGGCACTGTGTCTCACTTGTGTGCAGGAAATGGAGCCTGTATTGGAAAACTGTGGGCTATCTGCACACCCACGCATCCTGAGATATGATTTGATTTGATTTGATTTATTGTAGTTACATGTACCTAAGTACAGTGAAAAGCTTTGTTTTTCGAGCACTATAGGCAGTTCATAGCAAATAAGGACATATAGATCATAGGGTGCTTAGACAGAGCGAGGCATACAGGTTACAACTGCACAGGAAGTGTACAAAGCAAGGTCAACGTGAGCAAGATCAACATTATTTGAAGTTAGAGAGTCCATTCAACAGTCTAATAAGGACGGGGAAGAAGCTGTTCTTGAACCTTTTAGTGCATGTGTTTAAGCCTCTGTATCTTCTGCCTGATGGAAGAGATTGTAGGAGAGCATTACCAGGGTGGGAGGAGTCTTTGACGTTGGCAGCCTTTCTCTGGCAATGAGAAGTGTAAATGGAGCCCATGGATGGGAGGTTGGCTTCTGTGATGGTCATGGCTGTGCACACAACCTTCTATAGTTTCTTTCAGTCCTGGGCAGAGCAGTTGCCGTACCAGGCCATTATTGCAGCAGATAGTATGCTTTCTATGGTGCATCTGTAAAAGTTAGTGAGGGTCCCGATGGACATGCCGAATTTCCTAAGGCGCCGGAGGAAGAAGAGGCATCCTTGTGCCTTCTTGACTGTCGCATCTACGTGGGAGATCCAGGACAGGTTGTTGGTTATTGTAACTATTAGGAACTTGACGCTCTCGACCCTCTCCACTTCCGCTCTGTTGATGTAGATAGCGGCGTGTCCTCCTCCTTTCTTCCTGAAGTCAATGACCAGTTTTTTTTGTTTTGCTGACATTGAGAGAGAGGTTGTTATCGTTGCACCACGACACCAAGCCTTCTATCTCCCTGCTGTATTCTGACTCATCGTTGTTTGATATCCATCCTGCCATGGTAGTGTCGTCAGCAAACTTATACACGCCGCTTGTTTGGAATTTGGCTACACAGTCGTGTGTGTACAAGAAGACAGTAGGGGGCTGAGAATGAAACCTTGTGGGGGCTTCAGTAATTGTGGAGGAGGTGCAGTTTCCAACTTCATAGATTGCGGTCTGTGTGTCAGGAAGCTGAGGATCCAGTTGCAGACAGCAGAGCTCGGTCTCAGAGTTTTGAGATTAGTCTGGAAGGGATTATAGTGTTGAAGGCGGAGCTGTAGTTGATAAGTAGCAGTCTGATGTAGGTGTCCTTGTTATCCAGAGGTTCCAGGGATGAGTATACGGCTAGAGAAATGGCGCCTACTCTGGACCTGTTTCATCAGTAGGCAAATTGCAGGGGATCGAGGCAGGCTGCAAGGCTAGAGTTGATGTGTGCCATGATCAGCCTCTTGAAGCACTTCATGATTATGATCCTCCTTTGTGCCAGGCTGCTTCATTTCCTGGAGTTTGTCATCAGTTTTGATCATCCTGCATCTATCTTTACTTTCTTAGATAGGCAGCCACCATGACATACATGCTGTCAGCAGCAGGGCCCATCACTTTTGTGGAAAGAACTTGTTCTGGGCACAGAAGGAGAAAAGAGTTCCTTAAATTTCAGAACAGTCATCAGTGGTGAACTGTGCAGATGAGGGCTCAGCATACCTCGATACACAATGAGACATGTCGGACATCGCTAACATTGTATTGAACGTTCACATTCTGCGTCCGGCTGAGTGACCACCACATGCCAATGAGTCTGGGCTGCCTGCAGCACAATGGCCCCCTTCCAACTGTACTCTCATATCAAATCCTGAATTTGGCATTGTATTTAGTACGCGCAATTGTGACACCTGCATGACAGAGGAGAATTCCAACTTGTATAGCTCATATAGAACACTTGGACATTGTATTAATACTGGTTTGCATTTAGCCAGCACTGGCCTTATATACCATTATTGCTGATAACTTCAACATTTTTCATATGCTCAGGTTCAATTTGCAAAAGCTAATGGAATGTATCTAATTCCTTTCTTGACCCGTAAGCACCCTCATACCGAGGCACTTTTCCAGCTGTTTTCTGGAAGCACTTTGCCTCTAGAGAAAGGAAATGCCTGACCCCAATCACACTGGATTCTGTCAGCAATGGCCCAAACTGGTTGTCAGATATCATCCTCCATAACCTCCAGTTCCCCATTATCTCACACTGCCCTGAAAGCCCATTTCGACCCATCCCTCCAATTTGGAGACTTCTTACATTAAACTTAATGTACAGCTATCTTCCCCACTCCCTGAATCCCAACATTAAATCTTGTTGATGAGCACCCTGTTCTTTTATTGACCCTTGTTGGAGGCAATAGTGGTGGTTAAGGTCAATACCCCCCCTCCCCCCGGCCTTCCCATATCCAACCTTGCCCTTTGATGCTGTCCCAAATTCCCCATATTTGGCTGGAGCCTCCCCCTCACTTTCCTTAACCCCACAACTAAAAATATCTCTGCTTTCCCCCCAGCCTCGATTCTCCTACCCTTTCTATCATTGATCCCTTCACAATCCCAAACACCCAGCCATTTCCAAACAAAACCCCTCTAGCAGTGTCGATGGTCAGTAATCCAGGACTGTGTTTGGCCTTGACCTATGATCAAGTCTGATGAGCTGCCCTGTACAGAACTGACTAGACCCCTGTGTTCACAACTCCCCGAATGATGATATACAGTTCCTCTGACTGCTGGTGCTGGTCTTACAGGATGGACTGCTGCACAATCCCTGGACTGTACTGAGATAGATCCCTGATCTTGAGCATCCTGAACAGATGACAGCAGTGAGAAGGTTTATGATTGCACCCATGACTGACAGTAGCAGCACCCCCTGAGCAGACAGCAGCAGCTTCCTTGCTTTGACTAAGGACTAGTCTACACCAATTTTTGCCACATCTGGTTGTTGAATGAACATGCGGTATGTTTGCAACACAGGTAGGTGTTAGATTGCTATCTCTGTGTGCCAGACAGAAAGATGCCTGCTTCCCCCTACCCCAAAGACATTCCAGTAATGACCAGAATGACAAGCAGCTATGCCATGTGCCTGTGCTAAAAAGGTCCTTAGAATGGCAATGATGACAGCTCCGGATGAAGCACCAATGCATGAACAGGCACAACACAGCAAAGCAAGGCAAGGCAAGGTATGGATAGTGCAAGCATGCAGATACATGCAAAGTAAATGAGTACTAAGAGAGCAAAGAAGCAATCCTGAGTTGTAACCTGGTACATTCTGTGAGCTGTGTCCCTATCTGTGCCTGTTAATTATACCTGCTGCAAACTTCTTAATGCTAGTTACTGCTGCGCTCTGCAATGCATTTCTGTGCCTGGCAAACAGCATGCCAGTGTATGGAGGAGTTGCTGTGATGGTCATGATGGATTGACAGTTGCCAGATACCCCTGTCTGTAGGTGATGAGTGTGGTGACTGGTGCCTGTGCATCATGCCCAGTTGTTGCCCAGTGCCCAAAATGGAAGTCATTTGGAGTTCGCGATAAGCTGAATCCATCAGGTATGTAATCTAGTTACCTTGTCCAGTCTTCCAGAACTTGAGCTTGTTTGGTGAGTTTGTTAACATGGGAGTGCCGTGTCTGTTCTATTCCCTCCGGCCCTGTTTGATTCCCACTTCAAGCCTGCACCATTTCTGTGCATATTTGCAAAAGTTGGCATTGTGTATGGCACAATGACATGCAGGGCCAGGAACTGTGCGTGTGCACATTGCCATGTGAGCACATATGTGCAGGTATCCCAAAGTTCTGGTGTCACCAAACACTGCCTCACAGAATCAATGGCAGCTTGTAAAGACAACATTTGATGCAACATGAAACTAGATTAGGAAGAAGTGTCAACTGAGAACTGTTCCCATGTCAGAAAAGACCAGGGTGAAAACTGGATCATTTCTGCATTCACTAATAATTTATTGGATCAGCTAATGGAGGTGGCTTGGATCCAGTTTGGCTTGTGCTTCCCAGCAGTGATACTTGAATGTATTGTACTCTCTTATATTAAAAAAAAAGTGCAGTTTGACATTTTTAGACACTTTTTGTCTTGCTCACTTGTTTTTCGTTAATGGACCTGTATCTTGCTGTTACAAATGTCTTTTGTGTGGGCAATATTTTGAAAATCTTAAAACAATTGTGGAGGATGATTGCATTAACTTCTGACAGGTTGGCCATGAGGATGCTGGGCACCCGCTATGGTATTTCAAGAACGAGCTATCAATTCCAGCAAAACTCGGAGTTAAGCTGCCATACTTCTTTCATGCGGGGGAAACTGGTAAGATACGCAATAATTTTTTTTAAAAAATCTATCAAAATGTCTTCCAATTTAATAGGTTACTGTTATACCATGTTTTAGCCATTTTTATATTGAATTGTAGTTTGTACTCAGTTTGTGCCCTTGCAGGTTACTACCCACCATGGGTCTTCACTGTCTGGAAGTTGAACCAGTCATTGTATAGCTTTCTGGCAACGGGAATACCTGTTCTCTGTTATGGACTTTCATCCAGAAAAGCTCACCCACTTGAAATGGGAAGATACGAATGACAAGTGTCTTTGCCATTTAAATATGGATTTTACAGAGAAGTTTCATTTACAATATGAACAAAAAGCCTGGAAAAATTTAGGTCAGGCAGCATCTGTAGAGAGAAACAGAACTAATGTTTCAGATTTAGTGGGGAGGATCTGAGATAACAAGGTGTAGAGCTGGATGAACACAGCAGG